TCACCATTATGTACACATTTGACTTCAAGTTAGAAATGTCAGTCTTTTGGGTAGAAGTGATTAAAGTGTGTTTTTAGAAGTACCAGTAGTGGGATTTTTGTTGCTGTTTTTTATTTTCTTTAAGTAAGTCTTTTGAAAGGCCTGAGGAGTCATAGACTATTATATGGAATCTTAGGCCATCCCATATGTAAAATAGATGGATGGTATGAAGGTGACCTTTCTATACTAATTGGAGACAGATCTAAAACTCCAAAGAGGAGCTTTGCTCCAAAAAGCATAACTCCATATTTCCTGGTCTTTTACTTGCCATAAAAATTCAATTAAAGCTATTAATATTCTTCACAAAAAATTTTAACAGCAATGTAAAAGGTCCACCCTTGTTATCTTATAAATTTTGAGCATTAGATACATTTTGTCCAAGTCCAACCCCCTTTCATCCATTAACCAGAAGGCAATCTAAGTGTTCTCTTAAAGGTCTAAATCAGATCACCCCACTGGTCTGCTTAAACCTCCACATCACACCCCAGGAATAAAACACAGTCTGCACAAGCTTGAGAGACAAACCTTTCATCTGTCCTGTTTTCTCCTGGAGTCTATCCCTCCCCTGCTCACCATGCTTTAGCCATGAAGGCTTTCTGTAAGCTACAAAGTGTTCCTTTCCTCAGAGATTTTGTGCTGTTTCTCCTGGAAAATACTTCTATCCTGGTGATTTGTATTGAGAGTCCTTGTAGCACTTGGATGGAATCTTCAGGAAGGACCTCTTTGAAAATCCCCCTGCAGAGGGTGTATTTACTTCCTAGTCATCACATACCCTTATTTCTTAAATACCGCTCACAGCTTTTGGTAAGTCTATGCATCTCCCAGTCCACTGAAATACACAATCCTGGAAGACAAAGACCAGGCCTATGCTTTCACTACTAGATTCTAGTAGTGAATCTAGACAATTGACCTGCTAAGTCATGGTAATTATGGGATCTCAAGCCTAGGCGGGGATTTCCTTGTCCCCAGATTTGTGCATATTCTTTAAAAATACTCAGTGTGTTTTGGTCCACCCGCTTCTTCTTCTGCAATCTAGCAGTCCACTTGTCTTCTGGTTTTCTTACTTTCCTACACTTAGGAACCCAGGGCTTGGTGGTGGTGGAATCCAGTGATGATTGAGCCAATGCCCAGGAAGACCAGGCTTTAAGACCCTGGGCAGAATACTTGCACATGTGTGGATTCAGAGTGGCAGAACATTGGTTCTCAGAAGATTAACATGTATGTTAGCACCCAGCCAGGCTCAAGTCATCAAAATGGAGCACACGGGGACGTGGAAACTCATCAGTGGGTGAGGGACCAATCTTAGTAATTTCACTCGTTCCTCTCAGCCACTGGTAGATGACTAAAATTAAAAGGAGGGAGGGAGGAGGGCAAGAATTGGAGTTCTGAGAAGCCTGGGCTCCTCCCTAATCAACTATGACACTGACTTTTGACTTTCCTTCTCACCAGCTCTGTATCTTGCCAGTGATGTTTTTCAGTCCAATTCCAATGGGTGGTTCTGACTTTTCACATTATTGGAACAGCTGATTATCTTTGGTTTGCTGATGGTCCCTCACTTGAGAATGCTGAACTTCTGAGTCTCCACGATATGGTGCCCCCAGATGGCTCCTGATTGCTTTGCTGCTTTAGCTGCCTCCTCATGGGAATTCTAACAGTATTCCTCAAGGTCTGCTTTTCTCACTTCCCAACTTTGCCTCCTTCACTATCCATGGTTACCATTTCATTTGTCTACTGAACAGATTAATCACACCACGTGATTTATCAGATATTATCTTACCAAATAACGGTGAGGAAAACAGAAGTAATTCTTGTTTTCCTGAAATATACGAAATGCTTACTGACTTTATCTCTAAAACATTTTTAACTCTTTCTTCATTCTTTTCTTTCTTTCTTTCTTTCTTTCTTTCTTTCTTTCTTTCTTTCTTTCTTTCTCTTTCTTTCCTCCCTCTTTCTTTCTTTCTTTCTTTCTTTCTTTCTTTCTTTCTTTCTTTCTTTCTTTCTTTCTTTCTTTCTTTCTTTCTTTCTTGCAGGAGGTCCTTCCACTCCTCCAGCCAATAGCCGCTGAGATACCAGCCAACTGGGGTGTGGTCTCTCTCTTTAAAAAAGCAGCCACTTCCCTCCTCATGCTCTCTTTGCTTCCTGCTCCGTTTCTGGCGACTAGACTCCTTCCTGGTTGTGCAGAGGGCTGTTGTCTGGGACGGTGATCTGTAAGTTTTTTTCCCCCTTTAAATAAATACCACCCTGTTAATCACAATTCCAAACTGGTGTGGGATTGTTTATGACTTAGGCCTTTCTTTCTTCTTTCTTTCTTTCTTTCTTTCTTTCTTTCTTTCTTTCTTTCTTCCTTCCTTCCTTCCTTCCTTCCTTCCTTCCTTCCTTCCTTCCTTCCTTCCTTCCTTCCTTTCTTTCTTTCTTTCTTTCTTTCTTTCTTTCTTTCTTTCTTTCGCCTTTCTCCCCATAGTTGGCATTACAATAGATGTTGAATTAACCCCCATTGAATGGATATGTGAGGATTTAGCAACATGAACACCTGCTGTATACACAAACACAGAATTCGACATAGTTATATAATCTTATTATAAATAGTCCTAACCACACATTGTGAATCAATAAAAGTCAAAACATCTGGCCAATTTGGCTGGAAAATTCCCAACAAAACCTAAGTATGGTTTATCTATATTTTGCAAACACTAGATTGCCTGGGTCTTGTGGAACTGATTGAGTATTTTGGCACGGTATAGACTCAGCCAGACAATCTTGATCTCTTCCAGTGACACATTAAGTCTCTGAATTGAGCATATGGCTCACTGATTTCTAGAGTTAAGTGTAAGTATAAACTTTGAATGGTTGTGATAATTTTAATCGGTTCAATAGTTTCCAACATGTTATTAGTGACTCGTGCTTATTCACAGAGATCAGTACCCATTTCCTGGCTCTTTAGTATTAAGACGTCAACATAAATTGAAATTATTCCCACAGAAGATGGGTCGCATAAGTTTTATCTAAGCAAAACCAAGGCATTGTGCAAAATCTACAAAATACAAATATATTGGCTACTTTGATATCTTCTGTAGTAACCATTTGATGTCATCCAAATTAGAAAATTAGAAAGAAAGGTTTCAATTCCTCATAAAAATTTTCCCAGGTCAGTCAGCCATGAAATGAAAACACACATCTCCGTTTCTCCCTTCTTGGTTCTCAGTTATTAGCAGCAAGGGCAGAAGCAAAGTGATATTAGAACAATGAAGAACTATTCCAACTCTCCACAACTAGCTTGAATGTAGTTCACCAAACAGAAAGATAAAAATCAAAACAAGTAGGAAAGATAATTTAATATGAAATTACCAAGGCAAGTCAAGGTAAGGATGCAGATACAGCCTTCTCTATAAAAACCAGCACCTGGACTCCAGCTCATAATAGGTAGAGGAAACAGAAGGGAAACTTTCGGTTGGCCATGCATTCACTCCAAAAGGTTTATGTACCATTCTTTAACTTATAGAAGATTGTAACAGGCGTGTCAATTTAGGGGTGAAAAGCAGTAGGCACTGGAATCTTGATGAACTATGTAGGCATAATACTATTTTGTGGGTAAATTAAATACTCATAAGAGAATATTAAACGCCTAAGGGTAAACATTGTAAGGCTTGCTGGGTCAATTCAGTCTTCTGTTTTTCTTGGTAGAATCTGGCACATGCATTGTTTCATAACTCCTTCCCACAAAACTGGAAGGAAATTGAAGTTAACCTGGCCTCAGAGTGCCCCACCTTTCTCCAAGAAAGAGTGAAGCCTTTCAGCATTTAACCTGTTCCATTTAAAGTGGCTTTCACAGACACGTGTCTCCAATCTAAGGGCTACTGAGAAATGTTCAGGTCTTCGGGTGTAAAAGATAGATCACCATGGACCATGGTGGTGTGCGACTTTAATCCCAATGCTCAGGAGGTAGAAATAGGCAGATCTCTGTGAGTTGGAGGCCAGCCTGGTCTACACAGCAAGATCCAGGCCAGCTGAGGCTATACAGTGAAATTCTGTCAAAAAAAAAAAAAACCAACTAAAAATAGAAACTACCCTTTAATATCTTTATAAAACCCAAATACTGTTGGTTTGTTCTACACAATACTCTCAACTTTTGTTTGACTTGGGAACGTGTTCGAGACAGATAAATCCTGAACACAGGGTTTTCCCACTTGCTTCTAACATTCTGGTAGAGTTGGACCGTTTCACATAACTTTCAGCGCATGTGCTTTGTATCGACGATAAAGGAAAAGTGCTCATCAGATATTCTGAGTGGAAGCTCCGGCTGGACTTGCGCTCCCCACCTGGGGTCTGAGCCTGGTCAAACCTCATCTCTGCGGTGGCTCTCGGAGCTGAATTAATGTGATACAGATACCTGAATAAATAATTTTAAAAAGTAATTCTGATTATTAATGATTTGCTCCCTCTGTATTGTTTTTGTAACTGTTTCCTTCATATAAGAAGCAAATTCATGCTATGGAAAACTAGAATCATAGCAGTGGTTTTAAAACTGCATGTTTCTCTAGAGCACCCCCAGCCCCAGCACCATCCAGCGTTGCCCCTTTTATTTCCCCATCAAGGCAACCTTCCTGATTTTGAATCTCACAGGAAGACTCAGAACTACTGACTAAAGGAGGTCATTCTCATATGCTTAATCAATTTTAATGACGTTGGACTTTTCTGATATGAGCCTTTTTTGGGGGGTAGATACAGGGCATTTTATTTATAGCATAAAAAAGTAAGAGGGTGTCAGGAATGTGGTATTTCTGCCCTTTCCCAAAACTGCACACATAGGTTAATCTTGTCCTGAGGAAATTTGTTTGATCATTTTCAATTACGGTGCTCAGTAGAGAAAAGGTTAAAGATGGATTGCTTTCCTCTGAGGCTATTGGTTGGAGATGCACTCAGGCAGGGACTTGTTGCTAACAGAAGAAGGAAGAAGGACTTACGTTCTGTTTGCCCACGATGTTGTCGAAAGGCAGTTCTGGGCTCCAGGATCCTTCTGGGAAGGCTGCCCCACTGTTCCTCCTGTCTGAGGAGCTCACCGACTCCTTGACTATGTCTTCAGGCAATGATAGCAAGCTCTCCTCAGGCTGCTTAATCAAATAGGTCTCTATATTATGCTTCCTCAAGAACTCATTCCTCTCTTTACCATGGCCCTCTTCCACATTGTAGTCACCGTTGAGGCAATCCAGGGTGGCTTTGGAAATGTGAATTCTCCTGTGGGTACAGAGAAGGGATCGTTATATTAGCTCACGCTGCTCAGTTAGGGCTGGGCATAGGACACCGCCACAAGACATTCTCAAGGTCAAATTTATCCCTCTTAGAAACATTGGGAAAAGCAAAAACAAAACTAGAAATCCTTCATCTAAGGACCCCATAACCTCACACAAATGGCTCTGATGGGTATCTGGGCAGAGTGAAGAGTCTCTTTTGGCTTTTCCTATTACTGTCCACACTCTCTTTCTTTCAATGGTGTTGGCTATGCTGGAAAAGCAAATGATGCAGATATTCTTGAATTTCGATTAAAGTTAAATCATCTTAGACCATGGCTTCCTCACTGTCTCAGAGTTTGCCCAATCACTTCACATGTTACATATCTGTACCTTGTCTCTCCAACCTGTTTATGTGGTGCAGTTTTGTATGTCTACAGGGATACATGAATCATCCCTTTTAGAAAATTACTGCAAGATGTGATTTCCCCTCTAATATGTATCCAGAGGAGCGGAGAATAACATGGAATGCACAAGCTGTCGGTGGTCAAGGCTCACTCACAAACTGAGTAACTCATGTAGCTCACAGTCCAAGTTTCTTTCATCTTTTTTTTTTCAAATGAAACAATATGTGACTTTATTAAAATCAAAACTCGATTTGTACAAGCCTCAGGCTGTAATTCCTTATCTGGATGGAAGATATTTTCTCAAGTTGTCAAAGTCAGGTACTTACTGTGGTGTGTGAAGAATAGTAAGGGAATTATGATCGAGGACTTTGCTTCTTGGTTGCTAAATCTAACTCTTCCATTTTCTAGCTAGAAGACTTGGAGGAGAATTGTTTAACTTTTCCCAGGCCATTTGCCACCCATAAACATGGCCAACGACATAGACCTGCCTCACAATGTTATTGTGAGTATACAAGGGCTGATTTGTGTAAAGTAGTCAAAACGCTACACAGAAAGAACGCTGGAGCAATGAAAACACAGACTTCGAATTATTTAGAATATTCTTAAAAATGCCATTGTGATCTCACTGTGGTATATCCCGTGCCTTCTTAAGGCTCACAGGAGTCAGGCTGACATCTGAATGAGGCCTCTGTCACTGATTCTGCCATTCACAGCACATTGTCAGACACGCCTTCAGTATTGGCCCCCATGCTGCCTTCAGCTATTCAAGCCTTTGTCATTTCTCCCAATTCAGCATGTGATTGCACACTTGCTAAATGTGTCCTCCTTCCAGATTTGACTTAACTGTTTGCTAAGCTGACTCCAAGCTCCCCTGAGTAAATGGATGAATATGGTGGAGGCATAATGCTTTGCTTGGGTTTTGCGATTCCAGAAGCAATATATTCAAATAAACTATGAAGAGTTCTTTCATTTTTAAGTTTAGGCGTTTTAAAGAATGCCTTGTACTTTCAGTACGTCCTCTCCTTCCTCCTCTGGCCAATTAACCTATCTGTCAAATTCCTGCTTTCTGGGAAGAATAGTTCATCGCAGAAACAAACAAAAGCACAGACGATACATTTCTGCCCATTTAGGGGGCATTCTCTAGATCTTCCAAGATAATCAAGCAAACGCAAGAAAGCCTGGGTTCTCTTGAGACACCTGCTTGATTAATTCAAAATGTTTCCACAGCGTTTTACCTGGAAGCACAGAAGCTCATATTCCACAAATCAGGAGTCCCGAGCTGCTCTCTAAGACCAGGTTAAGATTTAAACACTAGAAGGCACTGCCTTTTTCTCTTAGGGAAAATGAGCTTCCAAGGAGGATTTTGTCAAGTCTGATGGCTGATTTCCTTTTTAAAATAACCATAATAAATACCAGCTGCTCTCAGCATTTTATCTGCATGTTATATTGTATCAATCTGTGCTGTGTTCAGAGGGATGGATCCTTGCCTGTGTTAAGTGAGTGCTATATCTTTAGTGTTTAGAGGGATCTTAGCCTCTGTTTCATAGCAATACGTCTATCAAGGTTTTGATCACTATCCATTGGGATGCCTTTGATAGAAACTAGGGTTCTGATGTTTCCTTTTTGAAAGTCTTAGATGCTACTCTGAGTTTTGAAGGAAGGCATTTTCAGACAGGATGGTCCAGTGACTTTGTTTCCTCTAAGGACTTGAATCTGTGCTCAGAGAGTACTCACACGTGATGCCTGCCAGGTAAACCTGACATTTTCTTGTAACATAATCACGATAGTTACGATAGTAAATATAATCCAACAACCTTGTATTGTTTTCCTTACCTCAATACTTTTTTTTTGCTGTAGGAAGGGAGTTGTTTGTTGTCATGAATTTATTTATATGATTTGATTTGATTCCCGCCATAGCCCAGGTAACAGACATTTCCTTCTTACTCCTCCCTTTCTCTCTTTCCTCACTCCTCCTTTGTCTCTTCCCTTTTCTTTTATTGTCCCCTTTTGTTTTTCTTTCTCCTTCTGTAGATGCTAAGACTGGTCCAGGGACAATGAATGTATTCTGCCCTATATGGTAGCAGTGTTAGCGGGAGATAGGACATTTTTTTTCAGGATCTCTCTAGGATCTTGTGACTGAATAATTACCCACTACAGCCACAGCCATAGAGGCTCCTGAGCATGGAGGAAGGATTTTATATATGTTGTCCCACTTGACAAAAAACCCTCAACAACAATAGTCTTTGTATAATATGGAGACCAGCTGTATCCCTGTTAGCAAGACCCTTGTTAGAAAGGTGTTTTGCTTAGGTCCCAGCCCAGACACACAGACTTGGAAATTCTGAGCGTGAACCCTAAAGATCTGTGTACTACTTCAGTTCTGCTGTCTAGGAAACTACTGTGCCCGGAGGTTCAGTACCAACTAGTCTTGCCAACCAGAGCTGGAAGACAGATGAGTTTTCAAAGAAAGCACTGACAGTTTGGAATGGAGCCTACAGTCATGCACACATTGGCGGTCAATAGGTTTTAATCTTGGCTGCCCATTAGAATTGATTTAAAAACTGAAAATTGATCCTGCAAAGACTCCACTTTAGATGAACCAGCATCGGGTCTGGTCATGAGTGTGTATCATGCTGTGAATCTAATATGTAGACAAGTCAAAGAAACAGTGCTTCACAGGGCAGGGGCATAAGCAGTTCACCAGCCTCGCTGCCTCATCATCTTTGCCATCTCTGAGCAATTTCCTTAGAATTTTCAGGCCAGTACTGTATGCTGCTTTAATGTGTGACCTCCTGAATAATGGCTTCCTAGATTTCTATCTTTGAACTCTGTACACAGAAAACCTGGAATTACAACGTTAGACAGTGAAAGAGTTAGGCAACAAAAGGGCTTTGCTCTGCTTACCCAGGGATCCCTCCAGATTCAAGTTTGTTTGCAATGTCCACATCCCAAGACCAGACATCAAACTGCCACTTCCTCAGACCCAACACGCCACATAGCACGGAGCCCGAGTGGATTCCAATTCTCATGTCAACATCATGCTTCGTTCTGGATCTCACATACCTGTTGACAGATGAATGGAGACATGGAGACATACAAATTAGGCCATGATAACCATCACTGGACTGAGGTGGCAGAACCAGAACTGTCTACTCCATAAATTTACCTCTTACTTATTCAAATGCCACTTCTTCCATGAAGCTTTCTGAGGTCCCCAATAACTGGAAAAATTCTATTCTTGTCTGAAAACCCTTAGATTTGAGCCATTTTAATGCTCGTAGTAACCTGCTCCCAAAGCTTATTTTGTAACCTTTGTTTCTAGAAATGACATCAGCACTTTTTGTACCTAACTGTGAATAAAAGAGGTAGATTGTGGGCACTGTACTTCAGTGCATGTTCTGTTCCCAACCAGAAGTGTTCTGGTTTTCTTCTCATCGAGCCTCTGCGAACACTCTCCTTCAATCAAGCTTCACACAGAGTCTGAGGTCCCCATTTCTGCTGTTGGATATGGCTTCCAGCTATTCCTTACAAATAAAAAGATGATTGCATCACCCCATAATTTTATGATTCAAACTCTTTCCTTCTCTTTTACTCCTTAAAGTAATAGCCTCTAAAATATAGGACTCACAACCCAGGACCCATCTTATTCATTTCTGGAGAGTCAGGAAAGATGTTGGACTTTCCTATAATGTTTTTAGGTCTTAACTTTGAAAGGGTTTACTAAGATTCAATTTAGCAGTGTATAGGGTCCACATTGAGTTGTCTTTTGTGGACATTGAAGAAGGAGCCTGAGCAAAGAGGATGATGTAGTCAGGGTTGGACATTCTCCAGGTACAAGTGCTTATCTCTTTTTTACTCTCAGAATACTTAGATAATTCTTTTTTTTCTTTTTTTTAGCTTGAAATGGATTTATTGGCATATATTCTTTTTTTTTAAATATAATTTTTTTATTGAAAAAAAAAAGATTTCCGCCTCCTCCCGCCTCCCATTTCCCTCCCCGTCTCCCTTTTCCCCCCTCCCCCCCACTCCTCTCCCCCTCCCTCTCCAGTCTGAGGGGCAGTCAGGGTTCCCTGCCCTGTGGAAAGTCCAAAGTCCTCCCCGCTCCATCTTGGTCTAGGAAGGTGGACATCCAAACTGGCTAGGCTCCCACAAAGCTAGAACATGAAGTAGGATCAAAACCCAGTGGCATTGTCCTTGGCTTCTCAGCAGCCCTCATTGTCCGCAACTTAGATAATTCTAATTCATAGATAAAAGATATTTCTGCAGAATTTCAGTGAGTAGAATATGATATTTCAAAAGAATACATGAATTGAAATTTTTATTGCTAGAAAATATATGATGGCTATTTTCCCTCAATAATACTTTAAAAAAGTTGTCAAACAAAGGTAAAGGTTTTTCCTTTTTCTCTGGTAAAAAGACAAGTGCTGTAAGTTTTTTTTATTTTTTTGTGATAAGATGTTGTGGTTAATAGTCCTTCTTGGAAATACTTGAGAAAAACCATCTAAATTTGAACTTCAAACAAAGTCTGATGGTTTAGAAATAAGAGAGAGAGAGAGAGAGAGAGAGAGAGAGAGAGAGAGAGAGAGAGAGCATAGAACCTTTAAATGACTCCATTGGTCTGAAGAGAACACTTGGAAGTGGAAGTTTGGAAATGTTTCCACGTACAGGAATCTTATTGTCAAACCAAAGCTATATAATTTATCTAAATCTTTGCACAGAATATCTGCAACTCAGCTTAGAATGATATTCAAAATAAAGAGCTTTGGTGACGTAATATGAACCCATTTACTAAAGATATAAAAATGCCTTGTCTTCTAAGGAGGTTGTAAGACTAACTGATGGATGTCAAGGTAGAAGAAAATTTACCTGACAGACTTACACACCATTTTGTTCTAACTTGTTAATTCCATGACAGCCAAGACTGTGAGTCTGTGAGATCTAGCTATCTCTGCAAGAGACAGATATAGCTCTGATAGCCTTTAATGCTGGGTAGTATAAAAATAATTAAACTTCGAACCTTTGGCCTTATGGTATCGCAGATTCTATGTGGTCTGACTGATGATGGCTAGGTTTAACAGTTTTATTTTTTCTTTATGGCAACAATACACATTTCTTTTTGTTTATTATTCATTAGAAACCCGACTTTGAGTTCAGAGTTTCAAGTTTTATTTCTGGGTCAGGGATGTGAACTAGCACAATCCCTTCAATGCTAGGCACAGACAACAAAAAGCAGCCCCCACTCTACCATGCCACCACAACAGTAAACAGATATGTTTACACTTACTCAACAGTGTAAACCAACTCTGGTGTCTGGCAGATGAAGTATTTGAAATGCATTTTCAATTAGTTGTATTTTCAGGGTTTCTTACGCTGCAACTTTACTCTAGCCTGAAGGCTATTTGTATAAAAACTTGTAAATTTTGTATTCAAATTCACTGCTCTCACTAAAAACTGGGAGAACAAAATATTTTGAACTGTAGCCATGTTTTAAAGTGTCATTCATTTAGTGTTTCTCGCATTGTGTTTAGAGATGGAGTCTTAGACTTAGTTAGCCTATCCGAAGGGATTTGTCTCTGGTGACACCGCTTTCATTTCTCTCAACAAGCATCAATTCCTGCCACTCTTTATTTCAATTGACACATGTACCACACAACTTGTATTCCCAGGGCTCGGCAACACTGGGTAACAGGGGGTGGTTAGATAGGAAGAGGCAGGGGACAAGGATGGGGCACCTGGAGTGAAATAGAGTTTCTTAGCTGTGATAGTTGGATCAGGACAATGGACTGTTCCTTTCCATTTTTTACTGTACCATAACAGATAGGAATTGTGAGTGAAAAAAAAATCTGCTATTCAAACCAAATAGATATATGTTCTGTCTGAAGGAAATTCTTCTATAGATAGACTTTTGACGGCGGAAGAGTGAGGTTACTAAGCATAAGTAAAAGAAGTGCTAGCAAGTAGCACTTCGATAATATCATCAAATTGGGTTCTTACAGCACCCAGAGAAATCCCTTTAAGGTAGTCAGTTGGAGCTCCCAGCTGAGAACACTGGGGAAAGCCGAGAGAGTTCCCCACAGGTCAGGCTTTTGAGTAAAAGAACAGATAACAAACAGCACATAGGCAGCAAAAATACCCAATTGCGTGCTTCCAACATCTAGCAAAAATGACTGGGGAATTCCTGCTGAAATCACCCAGTTACAGTTCCCAACTGAGGATTTCTGAGCAAGGCTAAGAATTTTCTCCACAACTGAGCTTCCCACATCTTGTTCCCAAAGCAGATACACCTTGTAGGCTGCAATGTTGTTTGAATACCCTCAGCTGCTGGTTCTTCTCCTTCTTCCTTGTTACAGGGTCAGGGACCTCACCTGCTCCTGGACAAGGGATCTCAGAGGACATTTGTAATAAACATGCTTAGGTCTGAGACAACAGGTTCTATTTCTTGTTTTTGGATTAGATCTCAACAGGTGTAAACAAACATTGCATGACCATTTAACCAATGTAATTTATATAGCACAATTATTTCAGCCTAAATTATACTATTCTGGCTGATCAACCATCTGTCTATGTTTACATTTTCCTTATTACATGCTTGTTGCTATGGCTTAAGGGTTAGTATCATGTGTGCTAATGCCAATCTAATGAGTTTGCATCTTACTCTGCCCATCTCACTGACTACACTCCCTCAGAGAAACCCTGTCTTGAAAAACCAACCAATTTAAGATTGAGTGGGAGAGAGAGAGAGAGAGAGAGAGAGAGAGAGAGAGAGAGAGAGAGAGAGAGAGAGAGAGAGAGAGAGAGAGAGAGAGAGAGGCGGGGGTGCGGGTGGGGAGAGAAACTATGTGCTTAGAATACTAAGGACAGCTTGTTTTCTGGTTGCAGATGAAGGTGCTGCAGTCAGGAAAGCAAGTGAGTTTTCGTGTAGCCACAGAGTTGGAAAGCAGGATTCCAGCACTAAACCAGCCCCACAGAGACTCTTTGCAAGAAAGTACAATGCCTGCCTGGTATGACCACCTGGGAAGATAGCCTGGGCTGACCTACAGGTTCAGTGCTTGTAAAATGAGGCTGTGCCCGCATTACTGTGAACCTCAAAGGGGGTAGCAGATGTTAAAGTGCTCCACCAATGAATATAAGGGAGTTCTAGACAGCACACTATGCTAATGTCATTAGGTAATTAACACTATGCAGGAATGCACCGGAGTGTCCTAATGAAAAGAGAGATATTTTCATTTTCTTCTACAAGATGAAAGTCATAAGGGCACTTAATATTTCCTTACTGCATTGCCTCTATTTTGTTCTGTCTGGGATTTGATTTGAATACAGCTGAGAATAAAACTATGCAAAAGTAACGGATAATGCACAGCACAGGCCCTCTTTCCAAAGGCCCATCAATATGGTGTTTCAAGAGCAGCTCTTGATGGGGGTCTGTGGGTCTTCTCAGAGTTAAAAAGAAAGTCGGGGCAAGTACCTGCTCAGCTTTTACGTATAGGAACCCAGGGGCGTTGTGCTGTGTACAGTCAGCCACGATGAAGGGACAATGATCCCTGCTCCCCTGTATCTTCAACATCTGTACCCTCTGTCTTCTGCAGTGACTTGAAGCTCCTGAAGGCAGGCACCTTAGCACTTAGCACACAGGAATCATCTGTGCTCAAAAGTGCTTATTGCATTATGCACACAGCTCACTGTTCTTGCTTCCCAGCTCTGTGGCTGTCTCAAAAGGAATCTTAAGAATTCAGAGGAACTGCGGAGGTGTCTTAGTCCTGGATAATTGGGAGAGGGTGTGGCCCTCCAAACTTGCTCTCTTCTGTTAGAGCATGATGGAGTCTATTCCTCATGCTAGGCTTCTATTCAAGACTGATTTTAGATAAAACCCTCTTAATAATAATAATAGCTACTATTACTGTTTGATAATTCTGTGGACAAATAATAAAACAATCAACAAGCAGACTACTGAGGGCGTTTCTTGTGATTGAACTAGCAAGAGGAAATGGTACAGTTGTATGGTAACAGGTAAAGCTATAGAATTTTCCTTTCTGTTTAAGCACATTCAATGATTCCTTTTAAAA